AAGTCATAATGAATGGGATGTTGTTTATGTTGTAAAGTGCAACGTCACTGAGTCCTTTGAACAAACCACTCTCTGAGGAAGATCATACGTGCACTTTATAATTGTTGTTCTTGCCCTTGCGTGAACAAGCTGTAAGCCAAAACTGCTTTGTTAACTGTAAATTTTACAGTTTTTACATTGCATATTTAAAACTGACCTGGTGCATTCAATTATACATCAAAAGGTCCTGGCCAAGTTTCCATGAGAAGCTGGTGAACTTGATAAAAAAAAATCCTCTCTTTATTAGATTATAACTGATATATAAAAATGGATCATATCCATTTTTGTTCCTTTTACATGTAAATATGATGGCTTTCAATGATCTGGTGCTTATTTGTTTTTTTTGTGTGTGTTTTAACATTTGTTACTCAAGTTTTCAAAATAAAGATTTGATTGATTTAATTTGATAGATAAATATAATTACTGGTAACAATGTCTTCAATAGCACATTAAGAGGCATATTATATGATCACATTGTACATGTTGTGCACAGTAACATCACCACAGCTCTATACCATTTATAAAAGCACTGAGAGTGGAAGTACTCGGTGAAGTACTCTCCTGGATAGACAGGTACTGGTATAGAGGAGAAGTCAAACCTGAAACAAAGAAAACAAAGAATGCTCATACGTCATTGTTTAGTAATGGTTTAGAAACGCAGCAACGCAGCGTGCTTACGGGAAAGTAACAGTAATCTAATTACATTTTTTTCAATAGTAATCCCTTATTTCGCTCATTACTTGAAAAAAGTAATGGGATTACAGTACATCGTTACTTTTAACACATTACTGCCCATCTCTGCTCATACCAAATATTGACTTTCAAGCTTATTAGAATTGTGCAAAAGTCTGTTTTTGCCTTATATACTGTATTTCCATGTTACAGTATATCACTGCACCTATTTATATCTTATCTTACTACACTGATCATAGCCTTTGTATATTTATACATGTATACATGTGTATGTGCCCTGTGTCCTCCTTAACAGGTTGGCCAGTCTTTTTGCACATACACACATACATAATTATGTTTTTGAAAAACATTTATTATCAATCTCAACTCTTTTGGATTTTCAGATTCACTATCCCCTCTGCAAATGCAATGTTACTTTTTCCATCTTCATTTGTTCCATGTGTCACGAACAACACATGTACGCACATGTTGAAGTGCACAAAGTTGTGCCTGATCATCACTGCCTCCAGCTTTGATTGACTGTGAAACGTGGATGCTGACACTGGTCAGGAGGCTTAAAACAATATCTAAGAAACTGAGCCCCAGTGAGTATTTTAGTACAACTGATTGCGGCACAAGATGAGAAGCCTCTCACCCAACAATCTTAAGTGGTTATGCCCTTAAAATTGAAACAGGTTTGTTATATATTCACCTCTGTAGAGTTGCCATTAAAGGAAGCTGTAACTGTCAGCCTAAAGTCGACATTCAGGGGAACTACAGTTGTGTGAACTTGTTGCTCGAATTCTGCTGATTCTAATAGTATTTATTTATTTATTTTACAAATTAAACTCAGCTATCACAGTTAGTGGTTTCATCAGATCTAGTTTATCTTAAGGCAGCTTTAACATAATTAGTAGTCATTATAAACCCCATCTGAGAATGCACAAAGAATGCTGACTGCAAGAGGCCTGTTTTTCAACACAGTGAGGCCACTGATGGCTCAATACCAGGCCTACAGTATCAAACAACTATTTGGGGCATTCGGGTCCAGTTACAAACAAGGACAATGTTAAATGTTTGAAATGGAAATTTCAATCAAAGTTGCCACTCTGTGTTAAAAAGATGAAACCAGATATGACATGGCGTCTTCTCTGAGAGCGGAAAAAGATGATGATCATTCAGTTAACACACATTGAAGAAAAGGATAGTGCTAATATGATCACAGTCTGTACAAACTTTGGTCGTCATCTACTCTTTCTGTGCTTTGGATGTGATTTAAAATGACTCTAACAAATGTAACAGGCTTGTTTAAAAGCAGCGCTGATGGTAAAATGAAGCCATAGCAGTCGGGTCACATCTCCAGATTTGCATGCTAGATGGCATGAGAGAAACTCCCACCACAATCATCCTCTGGAACCACATGATCACTTGCAATTCACGATCAAGGATTTCAAACAATAGCACTCGGCATTCATAGATTTAGCACAGAATTGAAACCATGTGCTGTGCGGGTTACTGATGGTCACACTGGAGAAATGTGCTGACAGCTCAAGAAGGCCTTGAGGTGCACATCAGCCCTGGGTAACTCTACCAAACTCGCAGCTCTGCTTCTTTATCGAAAAACAGTCTTTGTTGCCACTGTTGGCAGTTAGTCAATCGCATGTATTAGAGTACCCGCCAATGCTCGCCAGTCATTGATAGCTCTTAAGTGTGTGCATATGGAGTCTTAACTTTGTCATTCTTTGTGATCACTTTGAGATTTGAATGGGGTTTTTTTTTCCACTTCTGACAGACGAGGCTGTGGGGTTTCGTCTCAGGGCTCAGGGCAGACTGCGTGCAGCCGGTGGGGTCATTTGAACCTTGTGGTTGCAGAGCAGAGTGCTGAGACACAAAGAGCCAACACTGCGCTCACAAGTGTCCGACAGTGGGAGAGTCAGGAAGTCTGGCGACTGTAAACCCCACCCGATCCCCCCACCACCGACACCACCACCCACACACCCATCTCTCAGATACGCACGAAGACACGCCAAGCGGGCACTTCTGCATAAACAAGTCTGTGCTACCATACTTATGAGGACATTTGTGCCTTTCACTAATTTTTAACCATAGCAGCCACATATTTCACCCCCAAATTTACACTGATCTAAAGCAGTGGTCACGCCTGCACACAATCTGTCATTCAAGCGGAGTCAAAACCGTTAATCCACCACCGAAAAACAGACACAACGATAAGAAATACAAAACTATTATTATTATTATACGAAAACAATTGAGTTAAATAAGCCTTTGTTTTGATTTAATCACTTAAGAAGCACACAGAAAGTAATGTTTTCCATCATATGTGAAAATGTACCTTTGATTTATGTTGGATTTTTAAACCGAGACACTAGACATATAATTAAAATTATGGAATATCTCATCTAACGTTTAGCACTGCACAGTTGTGCATTTGCATCTGTTGAGCTAATCTACAAACTCTATAGACTCATTTCTAAACACACGAGTAACACCATCTATATTCCCTCATTTTAGGGCTAACACTTGGTTTGACATACAGTAAAGTGGAGCCGTGGGTGGAATATCACCACGTTTAATTTTCATTGTGTGATTCATTTAAAAGTAAAGGTGTCTATCAATCTGTTTTAAAAAAAAATACACTCTGACGTGAGGTTTAATATTGCATAAAAAATTTAGAAAGCTTACAGTTTTTGTGAGGTTTTTTTTTGCTCTTTTTAACTTTTAAAGGGGAATTCTTCCATGTTTAAAATCTCTTCTTTATTTCATTAACATAAAAGCTTACTGTATACTGACTGCACTGCCATATCATTGCATATATCCTTAATTATTCAGATTATGGGATCTCTGTAAAAGTTGCCTGAGATATATTATTATATGTTATAAAATGTTCTTAATAGCTGGTTAGATGCTAAATTAAATCCAACTGTGTGGAATCTGAGAAGCATTTTTTCACTATCACTTCTAAATATGTTAAGAATTTAAATTATAAAGGAAATTGTAAAATTGCAGTGTAGTGAATGCATTTTACACAAGCATCATTTACTTTAGTTTAAATACACAAAGGTGCATTTGGGTACTTTAACTTGACATCAGAGCAACAATTATGAGCTACAGTACAACTCAACATACACAGTAATCGTAGATAGGAATTTAGCAGAGAAAACAGCAGATTTGCAGGCAGACTAAAAGGGTGAATGAACAGGTTAACAGCGATGGGGCCTTGAATGGCTGTGACAGGGAGAAAGCAGCAAGAGGCTCCATCTCTGAAGGGGGAAGTGACCCGGAAACGGTGAGTAAGTGCAGCTTGCTGGACCCTTTAGGAAAAATCTCTCTAGAAGCAGTGATGCAAGTCTACCTAAACACACATTTCTCTCACTGTTTATGCACAGATGCTTTGCTCTGCTGTACAGATAGTGGAGCCACTGCTTGTCACTTATAAACCTCCCAAAAAAGTTAAGCAAATGCTCAAGACTTCAAAATAAATCTTTCTTTCTCCGTTGTAAAGAATAAAAAGAGCTTCTTTCTTGTTGAACTTTACAGTCTGTGGCGGTATTATGTGGCATTATAACACTGCGGATGCACTGGGAACATATCAGGGTGGCATCTTACTCCAGGCCACCTAAATCGTGGTGTGTTTGTTTTTTATGAAAGGATTTGGCCCAGATTAACTCGTGTGGTCTGAAAATATGTGTGTTGCTGCAGCAAGCTGGAAAATCGATCGGCAACAAGTGCTGCAGGGCGTAACTGTGCAGGAGCCAAGTCTTAATAATCACTTTTTAGTCTTTTGATTTGCTCATTCACTTACAAACTTTCTCTTTTTTTTTTTCCATGAAATACATAATTCATAAACTTACATCTTCTGTATGAGAAAAATCTTTAACTTTGTTACAAAATTAAGAAAACTTTATAAAACTCACAGATTTGGTCAAACTTGCCGTACGAATGGACTGTTCCTTATTCACACCTAACTGTACATCACTGTAGGCTCTAGATAGATAGATAGATAGATAGATAGATAGATAGATAGATAGATAGATAGATAGATAGATAGATAGATAGATAGATAGATAGATAGATAGATA